ACAGAAATTTCCAAATGCAGTGAAACCTCGGTTTTAGAATTTATTTATTTTCTGAATTTCGTTCATAAACCTAAAATGTTTTCCCCATACACTAATAAACACGATATTAAAGAGATAAAATAGACGAAAACTTGATTTCATTTTGCTGTACCTGTACGAAGGAGAGTGGGTGGGCATTAGTGGAAAATGACGAAGAAGATGTGTTTCTTTGGATACGAAATTCCCTTCCATAAAAACATCAGGTATATAGGTATTATTAAGGTATATAGGCGACATCGTCTTTTAAGAGTATCTTTTTTTAATCTCTAGCAGCCTCTCGACTTTGCTTGACATTCAATGGGCCTGTGTTTCACTCAAAATTTTCCCGATATGATTTGATGTTGCCTACGTTTTAAAATGCTATCAGATATGACAATGTTATTGAAAGATGCTTAACTTATCGTTTGCTACTGCTTTATCAGGGTGAAATCTTTACGTCCAAACTTTGTATATTATCCCATTTTGCGAATCAGAGAACTAACGCCATTTTTTTTACTCTTCTTCTGACGACATTTCTTCCGCAACCTGCTTTTGTTGTTGCTTTCTAAGTTCTCATAGTTATTTCTTGTCGGGCTCATTTTTTATTAGTAATTTAGTAACTAATCCATATCTTTGTTGTTAACTTAAAGTCTTTAGTATCAGAGTGCTCAAAGTCTCTGCATGCCACCTAATCTGTCATAATTTCCTCCAAACAAAATTCATGGTCCTGTACATCACTTGCTGCCAAGTTTCGTTAATAACATCTAAGCGATGTAAAATATTAAAATGAGTTTTCAGAAGTTCCTGCGTGCCAATTATACTCCACAGGTTACCTCGAAACACTCAAATCAAAATCATGTATTATCCACTTGAGTGTTCGTAATTCGAGAAAACAGTCATCATCCAAGGCATTTTTGTATAAATGATTTGTTCGTTAAGAGGGGAGTTCGTGATCCAAGGTTTCACTGTACGTTCTTATGCATGTCTAGTGCTTACATCGACAGCAAAAAACCTTCGAGTTTGACTGAGTATCAGGTGGTGTTTAGATCTTAACAAAGCGCTAAGTGAAGTTGGTCGCATGAGTGTAGCTGACTCCAGTCGGTCTTTATTATGTTTCATAATGCGTCCCTGCTCAGAAAATGAGTCAATTTCTGCAACTCCGATACCGATTCTTTCGGGATTACAACATATGTTGCTTTGAGCATGTGCTTTTGCGCCTTCTGAAGTAATATACTATCCAGAAATGTAACATTACTTATGATTTTTCAGCCGAATGGTGATACGAATTATCAATTAATGAATACAATTTATCAGTTAATATCAATATTAAGGTAGATATCATTAATCAGTGCCAGTTACTTACCTACATGAAGGTAATTTTAGAATTTTATTTGTATTATACGAGGGATGTTTCCAAAGTTCATTTCCTAAAACTTGTAGGCAACGCTTTCGACCAGAGATAAGTCTTGACATGTTTATGCAACTATCTCATGCAATATAGTTTAGTTCGATTTAATTATTTAATTGTTTGAGGCGCATTTTTGTAGCACTATTTTTGCGACTATTGAAAAACGCGAAGAAGAGTAATTTCCTTTTTGCGTGGGAAAAGCAAGTTAAGGTGTCATAGTCATAAATGCTGCCAATTATAGTAGTTTGGCAAGTTTGTTGGAATTCGTTTAGAACTTTGTAGATGCTCTATATATACACGGAGGTTATAGAAAAGCTTCTCCGATATATGAACCTCTAGGGGGCCTATCCGCTCAACCAATGGAAATGAATTTGAAGGTATGCGCTCGGGATTACAGTGGAAAAATTTCGAAATTTTAGATTTCGAAATCAGCGCATTCAAAAACCATAAATGGCGTTAGAACGATGCACGTATAACGAAAATTACGAGCGTAATGCATCTGCAAAGAAGAACATTGTAAAGAACCAATGACAAATTTGAGGGGAGGTGTATTGATGCTCTTTGCATAATTCACAGGAATAGTCAATAGAAGCACCAATCCTAGAATACAAACTGGATGCACATGTGGTAGACAGCGATCTGAACGACCATGTGCTCCTGCTGAAGTGGTGGCAGAAGTGCATAATATGATTATTGCAGGTCTGTTGCATACTTCAAGAAGTGCTACCCACAGCTTGGGTGTACACACCAAACACAAGTTTTCTTATTGGTTCCAGCGAGTCTAGGTTTTGCCTGGAGACAAGCAACAGCGTGTAGACTTTGCGAATTTTTTCCTCATCACATATGATGACGATAGCAGGTGGCCGCTGTGGATTACATGGACGGATGATGCGCATTTCTTCTTAACTGAGAACGGAAATTCCAAGAATGGGCTGACGAAAATCCTCACGCTGTAGCACCAGCGCCTTCACATGAAGCTAAAGTGACTGTTTGGTGCGGCATCGCAAGCACATTTGTTCTCGGTCCGTACTTCTTCGAAGAGGTCACTTCCACAGGAAGTGATCCACATGTGATGATTCGACAGAAACTCTGGAATTAAATTCCAGATTTGCAAGAGTGAAATGTAGTTAATGACATGGTATGGATATAAGATGGTGCTCTTCCACACTTCGCTCGCTACATGTGTTCGGCAAGTCCCGCAACAGCACTTTAGAGTCATCTCCCGTAACTTTAAAGTTTCGTTTCCACCGTGATCGCCCGACCTCACTCCAATTGATTTCTGGTTCTGGGATTATCTGAAATCTAAAGTATACACATCAAATCACGAGATTTGTCAGAATTGAAAGACGTAGCAATATGTGAAGTTATACACTGATTTCTCCTGCGATGTTTCATTCGTCCTTGTTGTCAACTGTCTCCCGCATCCAATGCATTCCTCTCCTTTCTTATGTTGTCCTTTACAACGCTGCTATTTGCAGATGTACTACGTCGACAGTTTTCGTCATACGTGTATCGTTCCAATACCATATACGATTTTTCAATGCGCTGATCAATTTGCGGATGAAAGAAGTGGTTCTTGCCATTCGAAAATTTTCGAAATTTTTTCTTTGTAACCATAACCGTGAAGGCTCCATTGTTTTAAATTATCACATCTCAAGTGAATACCTTCAAATAACAGTATCTGAAATTTGATTTCGAGAGATTGTTTGAGCGGATGGACCGCTAGAGGTTCATGTATCAGGGAAGATTTTTTTTTTTTTTTTTTATGAACAACCTCTATATTTTGTTCATAATTATTTTATAGATTTTACGCCAACGGGATATATTTAAGCGCACTGTAGAAAACTTTTTCCAAATCTTTTTTCAAAGGAAATTTTTTTTTTAAATTCCTACTATTAGCTCACACTCTCGATATCTTGTTCAAATTTTTAATCGTTAATAAAATACTTTTCATTCATCCACTCTAGTTCAAATACAATTTTTTAAACTTGTAGTGGATGGCACTTGATGTTAATACAGTTTTATCGCATATTAAAATTTAAAAAAATTTTAAAAGTTTGGTTTTTTTATTTCCAAAATTTTTCTTTTTTGACCTAAGTAGGAATTGAATTAATTAATGAGTAATTAATTTTCAATCGTTAATAAAATACTTTTTATTCATCCACTCAAGTTCAAATATACTTTTTTAAACTTGTAGTGGATGACACTTGATGTTAATATAGTTTTTTCACATATTAAAAAAAATTTTTTTGTATTTTTAAAATTTTTCTTTGTTGACCTAAGTAGGAAATGACTTAGGTCAACAAAGTCATATCCTACCTATATACTTTATATATATAATTTTTTTTATATATTACTTGTTTAATAGCTTTTTATAGCATTAATTATTTTTATCGCAAATAATTTTAAAATTCAGGTCGAAAGAGTTCTTATTCTGTGTTTGTTCTTTGAGCATGGTGTCTTCCTGTTTGCGCGAAATCATCAATCTTCATTACCCCCTTCCAAAGGGGTTCCATAATGGGGGGGGGGCGACTGGGCGTTGGCCTCTTCCGAAATGTAGGAAAGCAAAAATTTTTTAGATTTAAAAAAAGAATTTTTAAAAGAAATAATCGAAAGATATTTACGAAGTCTGAGTCTTTGTATATCTTTGCATAAATGAAGTACTGTATTTAAAAGGGAAGAGATGTTCAAACTCTGCGATGATTTTGGCAATGAACTAAAAGATCGTTTCCTAAAGTAAAAACAGTATTCTTCCGAAATTCTGCATAAAGGTGAATTATAATAAAATCTCAGAATATATATTCGTTGCGAAAAGAAAGGCAGATGAAAAGAAAATATACCTCGAATATCAATCAAGGCAGCTTCTGAGAAAGCTTTGTCCTAGCCAAAAGAAGCTTTTTTTTTCCTAGCTGTAAATTGTCAAAGTCATAATTCAGAAATATAGCATCTGAATCTCGATTGAATGGACTTGCTTTACTTGCATTCATCGGAATATCAATTGTCAAAGGTAAATTTGTTAGTTTCAAAGATTTAATTCAGAAATTCCAGAAGCATAGCGCACGATTCAGCAGTGATTGTATATATTTATCATACTAATTTAAAATAATTAATTATGTGTATATACTTGTTAGTAATTATTGACAGTAAATATAAATAGTTAAAGAGTATATATTTTAAATCATTTATTTTTATATACACATCTGTATTTGTATATAATGAAATTGCTAATTATTATCAACTTATTTGATATTATTTCATTTTAAAATGCTCTTTTTCTAAATCTCCTATTCATCTAGCTTCTTTTTTAAGAGAAACTGTACTTTGTGAGTCACTTTCAATCCAACTGTAAATGCGATTCGCAATTTAATTTATTCGTATGGTGGCAATATTAAAAACTTCGGAAAACACTGGTTCAACAGTTGTAACTGAAGAGTAAGTACAATCAGCTTCTTTAAGGCAAATATCAAACGACTTTAGTTTACTCTGACGATGGATATTTAAAAAGTGGAGAATTCAGTATTCGTCGCGATATTGTGATAAAATTCTGATAATCTCTGAAATCCCTTAAAATGCATGCTACGATTAGAAAATTTAATAAATTTGATTACAGTGTGACGTTATTAGGTTTAATCAATGCAGCAAACGTGAAAAATATGCAGTGCCCTCCCCGAGTCTCGAACCCTGGACCTCTCGAATACACGCCCGAGTATGCTTCCAATTAATCACGAAGGCATGCGGAAAGGAGGCAGAAAATACCTTATAACTAAAATTATCAATTTAATAACAGAGAAAATTCAACTTTCCTTCACACAGGCTTAGGACTGGCAGTAAAAATACTGGCGTGTTTAAAAGTTGTGTGATGTTAGTCACTTTCCCTTTAAAAAAAAAAAAAAAAAAAAAAAAAAGTTATTTTTAGATAAAATTTTCAGATGTTTTAATCGAATTTTTGTAGATAAGAAAGAGATAATAAGCACTTTCTTATATTTTGTGATGAGTAAAATCCTTGCATAATACGTTGGATTCTTTTCTCCTTTTTGATCACACATGTTTTCCTTCTTTTCCCTTCTAAATTTACATAACGACGATCTATAAAATAATCACTTTCTTTAGCTTCGTTTTTCAAAAATTTTATCAGTTCTAGAGTTTTAGGATGGATTTTCCTAATAACAGAATTTAATTTATGATGCCATCCTTCAACAATATTATTTGTCCTGTGCAATTTTTCATTGCAATTCCACATCTGTATAGTTACGACGTCATTTTCAAGCCACTGCTCAACAAAGTAATCATAAAATGCCTCTAATCTTGCATTACGAGGTGAACTTTCTTGTATGCACAGCCAACCATCATCGACACATTCCGCGGGTATGTATGCAAGGGACGCGCACATTCTGAGATGGGTTCTAATTTCTTCATTATGCCTATATTCGTTAACAAGTCCCAAGTCTTGAATCTTTCTCCACAGACACTGATTTAAGTGGAAATTGCAACCTCTTATATTTAAGGAAGGAAAAATATTTTTCAGCGAAATTATAACTGCAATTTCAAAATCCATCACAATTTCTTTAGGATCCCAATCAGAAATATGATTTTTAATTAAACGAAATAATCTCTCTCATAAGTCTGCTTTCGCTTATCGGGAAGTAAGCAAAACAACACAGGAACAACATTAATCTCGTTAGAGGTACTTCCAATATCAACATGGATAGTATAAATTTGAGAGAAAAGCTTTGAGCAACTTTTAAAAGTTCCATCCATAAAGAAAGTTTTGCCGCTTTTCATTGCTTCCCTCCCCTTCTTACTTGAAAATACCAAAATTCGGCTATCTTTTAAATCATCGAACAACAAGAAACTAAAGTTATCATCCATTGCTAATAATTCATTAGGAATTTCTAAATCTTCCATACATATAGCTTCTCGATCGTATCCTTCGGCACTTTGCCTAGATTTGTATAGAGCTGTTTTAACACTTGAAAATTGCGGAATATTGGTTAATATGACAAAGCCTTGATTGTATAGTTTTCCAACTTCTTCATTGTAAATTTGAGAAAGTGGAACATTTTCTTCTTTCGCTCTCATTTTTGCTACAAATACTTGTTTTCTTACTAAAGAATGTGCTGTATCAGGTTGACATATATAAATTTTTTCTTCTAAAACAACTTTTTTCTTGGTCTTAATTGAGCCTTTACAGCTTTTAGTTTTTTCATTTATGCAAATCCAATAAACTACATTTTCCTTATTTCTATTCCGAATTCGATATTGATAACCTTTGTAAAGATCTAAAGGCTTTTTCCTTTTAGTTTCAATAATCTCTAAAACATCCATACTGATTTAGATACGAAAAATAACAGCTAATACTAAAGATTTTAAAGTGGAATGAAACTAAAGATTTCGAGAGGAGCCTTAACTAAGACACGTCTTCAGTCTAACAATGTCAAGAACGATGACTAACTTATTCACAAAGAAGCTGCCCAGCTCTTCTTAATGACTCATCCTGACATCCCCTGAGAAACTTTGGGAGGGGGACTGTAGTCCACGATTTCGCGCAGACAGGAAGATTTTTTAAAAACGCGCAAACAGGAATCGCGGAAACAGACCTAAATCTTTGAGCATAAATGGCTAACTGCAATTTTTGAGGGTTAAGAGCAGCGTCATCACAGGATGAATTTATTAATTTATTTTTAACTGACTCCTTTTTTTGCTTAATGAGCGTTGTACTATTGTAATTTCAAAGATAATTAATTTTCAAAGATCCGCCAGATGAAACTGCATGGCACAATGTGATACGAGCGCTCTAAAAGCACTAGAATGTCTTCTCGAGCGTTAAAAAAAGTTAATGCAGCAATGAAGTACAACTAGCATTAATAGCATTCATGTTATTTAACATAACGTTTATATTATATTTGCTAATGACGAAATTGAATATTTAAACCTTCCAACATCTGTTATTATTCGTGTTCATAAAACGGCGCGAAAATGTTTACGAACTTCTGACAATGCCAACGTTGGCTTCCGTTTGCGATCGCTTGGCGCTCGACTTTCTAATCGCTGCGGGCAACCCCTCAGTCTGTTAATGTGTACGGGTGTCTATCTAGTTGAGAATTCGAATCGAATGCTGTGGGAGTATGAAAAGTTAAATCATGTAATTGTTGTTCAAAACCTCTGCTCTTGGCCAACCTTGACTCAATTATTTTGGAAAATCGATCTGTTACGACTTGAAGAGCTCGCCAAACAGGAATTCGGCGAAGAACTTTTCTTTCATGACAGTTTTCAGCGAGTAACTATAACCGTGTAGAACTGGTGCACTGTCACGTGTGTTTAGTATTGACATTTTTTGGTTGACCCTGTCACCAGTGTTTGACATTGCAAGGAATTTTAAAGGGCTGATCGTTTCTTGAAATATTCTGGAATATTTTTGTGTTCTGTGGAGCGGAATCGCTTCGACCTATATTTATCATTGAGGATATTTGTGTTGTTTCGAATTCGACAATATTGCAAATTATTTGAAGAATTTTACGTAAGTACTTTTCGAACTTAAAATCTCATCTAACATTTTTATATTAAATCGTTCCTTTTTAACATCAGTTGGTTTAAAAGTGTGTGTTAAAATTCTTCATACTTTTAATCAGTATCGGAATTGTCATCATGGTGTAAAACATTTTTGTTGTTATAGCAATCAATTTATTAACAAACTAAAACTTTTAAGATTGTTTTGTCTAAAATTAATATGTCTAAAATTATATGTCTTTAAATAAATAACTATTGTCTTAATAATTATTTTTCGTTTTGAATGAAATGAATGACAATACAATAGTGCATTTTTTTATAATTTAGTTATTTATTAGGCTGTCCTGATCAAAGAATAGTAAATAGTAATGCCTGTTTAATTTTTGATATTCAATATTTTTTACCTAATTAAAAATTTTTAAATCTTTATTTTAATATTTTTGGTCATTTCCCAAATTCAAGGGGGGGGGAATGACCTATTCCCACTTATATAGTTATGTATTATATAATTAAGTTATGTAACTTTTTAAGTGTTATTTAATAACATAAAATACATTCTTCTTGCATGAAAAAACATAAAATTAAATACATAAATAAGTAAATAAATGAAAAGCATGTTTAAACGTTTCTTAAAGTTTACAAATCAACATTAACTTTCAATATCCACTTCACGTCACTTCAAATGATGCGAATTATAACGCACATTTAGTTGTATTTTAATACATAATTTTTTGGATTATGTCAGTGGTCTCAAATTCAAATAGCACGCGAGCCGATTGCACGATCTGAGAGCAGTCGACGGGCCGGGGGGGATAACAAAATGAAATTTTTTACATTTTTTTAATGACGTATTTGTCAAAACATACATAAGCAGTTAGTAATAATGACGTAAAGAAAGATTTCGAATTTACACAATATTTATTCTATTTAAGAGATTTAACGGCTGGTATATCCAAGGTATTTCTGTTTGTTTTTCTTTGTAATTCAAACGTACTGACATCTGAACTATAAATTGATATTTATTCAAATAATTCTAACATGCTGAACTAACCACTGAATAACTTATTTTTAACTTAAACTTAATTTAAACTGAAAATAAAGAAAGTATAAAAGTTTACTAGTAGGACAAACTTAAAAGAATAAATAATGGCAACCTGTTTCTCTTCTTTTCATGCATAATTTTTTGACGCCTACAGCGAAAATAAATATTAGTTTGTGAATAATTATAAACTTCATTATGTCGTAATACCTTTTTGCAATAATACCTCATGCATTTTGATTTTGATAAAAGTTTGTAACGTAGGAGAAAAATTATTATAAAGTGGCTTAATCACGGAATTGTAAAATACTCAGTGGCAGTCTGGTTCTTTTCTTTCATTTATTACTTTTCAACTGTGGAAACAAACTATTCACATGTAAATATACTTCCAAACAAAGTGATTATTCTTATTGCAAAAATTTTAATATCAGGATTTTGACAAGTACAAATAAAAGTTAATCAGATTTGTGTCTTAAAATTGTTGAATAAGATTTATATCGCAGTGTAAATTAGTTGGCTGTGTTTGTAGATTTCCTGGGGCGTTGTTTACGTTCGTTTTTGGCAATGAAAACATATAAAATTGAACTAAAAATCAGCAAAATAGAATGCCATCTAGGTAAACAGATGGCCAATGCCATATCAATAATACTAATATAAATATAGATATATTATCTTAATATATAATTACTTGATATAATTTACTATGAATTTGATTTTTTTAAAATTGTTCTCTGTATTAAATAGTATTCACATCGTTCAAAATAACTGGTTATATGCTAAGAAAAAAACGTTTTGTACTTGCATTTTCATTTTTTAAAATCTGTCTGTTGGTATTTAAAATGCCCATTACACTGAGCTTTCATTTAGATGTGTTGTAGATGTTACGATCTCTGCACGAAATGTAAACAAAGGTTGCTCGGCAACAGTGCCACTTTCCCTCCATTTCCCAAATGCTATTTTCTCCCGTCTTTCGAAAGCTCCCACCCGCCCTCACTCTAGTTGCTAAAAATAGATCGGTCCTATTTGTACCTTTGGGCCATGCAGTCTTTCCGACTTGACCATTCCGGAGAAGTCGTTATAGAATGTCAGGGTTACGGGGTCAAGGGAACTTTCCATTTTAGTGGATCCTGCTTAGGACGCCAGGAAAATTTCCGAGAATCTTCGAATAATCTGTATTGCTGGAGTGGTATGGGATTATTTATTTATTTTTTTCTTCACCCGTTTTTAATGTCAGCGGTTGAATTTAATACCCGATGCCATTAAGAAAGCGATATTGATTTTGGTTAAAATAAGAATTGTATTCGTACTTTTGTGTCTGTTTAGTTCATTACCATGTATATATTGGGGGGGGGGCATTGAACGGTGTATATTTTATTTTGTATATTTTGCATAAACATTGTATATTTTATTTTGATAACACACCCCTGTTCCTTACATGCGTTGTTTGGGTAAAAAATAATGAATTTATTTGTTTTGAATGTTAATAAATAAGTTTAATCTGTGGAAGGTTATTGAGAAATTACAGAAGTATTATTTTTAATTTTTTAATCAATTGTAAAATTTCTGCTGTTTTACATTAAAAAAATACAAATTCTTTTAATGTTTGTACGCAGGAAGCCTCTCGGGCGACCACATTGCTAAGTTTATTTATTACCCCTGAAAATTATCAGTATTTTTTAAATTTTATTAGTTAATTTTGAATTTGAGGAAGTATATAAATGAAATTTTTACCGTGCCAATTCTTTCGTTTTAATTCGCATTTGGTTGCTTTAAGTCCCAATTAGCAAACCAGCTGTTGAGGCTATTTAGGTTTCGGAGATTTAACGCGTAAGCGAAATAATAATTTGTAAGGTAATTGAATCTGTGAGGCATAATAAAATACATTCATTTCGTACAGTTTTGTCTTCAATCCAAACATGGAGTCGTTTCTTTGAATGTATAAGACGGTTATGCCCCATTTCAGATATATTCTCTTCGGGGGCAAGGGTGACCCCGAACCTGTGACCTCGGACCCAAACATATGACCGAGAGTCACGGGACTGAAATATGTGTGATTAATGTCTCAATGGCATTCTGTCCCTTCGTGTTTACATATATCTTTAGTGTATTGTAATGGTGCTATTCAATAAACATTATTTTTTCTCCCTTAATTGCTAAAGGTAGTATATCTTAAATCCTATACCTATACCTATACCATGTAGTGAGTTCTATAACTTAAATGAAAGCGAAAATTAAGAACTTTTGAGAATTGATCCAACGTTAAATCTAAATAAAAAATGTAATGCTCTAGAGCAGGGGTTTCCAACCGTATACCTCCGGGCGGCAGTGCTTCCGGCAACGGTTTAACGCGTTCCGCTGATGTGCGACCATGATATTTAAGTTTTCAATAAAAATTGTGCAAATATTTTACAGTTGTTAACACAAGCGAATTTGTTAAAAATTTATTTGTTTATAATTTTAAATAGGCTTACCAGATGTCCCGGTTAGATCGCAATTTTCCCAGATTTCTGGCCAGTTTGTCATTTTGGCTTGATTATTTGTTAAAAATTAAAAAATGCGAAGTATTATTGTTTTCAGCGATGATTACCACAAAATCAAAAGTACAGATCTCGACTTAAAACATCTTGATTGCTTACGAGCAGAAATTTCTTTTAATTATGAAGCAGTGGCCTGTGAAATGCATTACCACTTATCCCAAACTTTTGTCTGTACTATTAAGTGATTATTTATTTCATTGTGTACATTATTTACTGTCATTTACCTGTTAATTTACCATGAACGAATCAATGTACCATCGATATGTGTCGTGTTGTGACGTATCTCACTTCTCTGACAGTAACATCAGAACATCAGTACATTTGCAAATACCTAGCGCGCATTGTTCGGAAATATGCATGAAAATGGAGCCTGAATTTCTTAGTAGCATTCATATTATTTAGGATCTCCATTTGATCGTCGTTTGCGTGGTTGGCAATAAGGAGCAGATCGGGTAGCTGAAATCCAGTTGGTGGTTGCCCTGTTTCTGATCGATAGTATTAATGCTCTCTCTTATATTTGGAACGAAGATGTATTAATAAATTATATTTTAGAAAAAATATTGCGAGAAATGATATAATACAAAAATTCGATTAAAAACTTTTTATTTAGTTATTTTAATCATTGAAATTTTCCTGGAATTTATTTAGTTATGTATTATTAAAGAATTCTAAATATAAAATAAGACATCGAGTGAGTTCAACAAATAATAATCAATCACAAATTAAATTTTTGATTTGCTAGCCACTTGCGCAGAGTTATCATAGAAGAGAAAAAATATATGTAACGATTTTATTGCGTCCAGTTCGTGTAATTTAATAAAAATATTTATTATTTCTAATCTCATGATTTAAATGCAATTTTGCTGAAATCAATCCGATTGAAAAATAGAAAAAGTGGTGTTCTTAAATCGCTTGCTACGTTTATTGCTGCTTTGATTGCTAGTTTAACACTTGGTTTGTTAATTAATAATAAACAAAATTAATATCTTACGCTTTACTAACTGGCAACACATTGGAGCTTGGAAGATAAAAGAACGTAATATCAGGCAATTACGGTGCATGTTAGTTTTCAGATAGCTGAGTTTGATAATCAATTTATTTATTTTAATTTATTTTATTTATTTATTTAATTTTATTTATTTATTTATTTTTTAAGTGTGGTGGGCACTAACCATTTTTAGGCTTTCGCCACTGCTAAGGCCAGAAATGGGGGTCATTTTATAACGGAGGCACTTAATAGGCGGGCGGCCTCCGTTACCTCCTACGAGGAAGACGGTCAATTTACATCCATGCCTTCTCCGGGATTCGTACCCGGGCCCTTCGTTATCGCAGTCAGGCGGCTCTCAAATTCAAAATCAAAAACATATTCGAAATTCAAAATTCTGGCTTCGATGTGCACATGTTAAGGTAGTACTCGAAATTTGGTGATGATGG